GCATTGTTGAATATCACAAGAGTCGACTGTACAACTCTTTGACCAAGGACTCTGGCCCAGTGTTTTGCCGTCGAAGAGGGCCCGTACGTCTCCGTCGTCGTTGTTTGGTTGAACTGGTCGCACGACGAAACCGCACAAGCCGGGGTGAACTCAGAGAGGGCGCTCCGGAGAAGAGGCCTAGAGAAATCAGGCGTACTCAAGACAGTGCCTCAAGACTGAGGCTCTTCCTTCTTGAGACCAGTGACCGTCTCCCTGTGTTCTTTTGAAAGCTTTGTCTTCACCACGAAGAGACTCGCAATAACACCGAGAGCACCAAGACACGTGAACATGATGAACATGTTTCTTATGCTCCAGGCGAATGCTTCCTTGACTGCGAGTTCTTGGGCGGGCGGAAGAGTCTTACCCACCATGACGTTGGCGCCGGCGTTTTTACCAGACAGTTGCTCCACGACTGAAGGCGGCAAACCCATCTGTTGCAATGTCGCCCGTCGAAGATCCATGCTTTGCTGGAACACAATCCCGCCTAGAATGACGCCTAACGAGAGGGCCAGGCTTCGAATGAAGGCCTGTGTCGATGTCGCAGTGCCGACACTGTCTTGGGGAACACCTTGTTGTATTGCGATGAGAGGAGGCTCAAACAGCAGCCCTGAACCAACGCCTTCGATTATTTCAAGGCCAATGATGGTGCCTGTCGAGGTGTGTGCATCCAATAAAATGAAGAGGCCAGTGCCCAGGGTCATTAAAATAGTTCCAACCCACATGGATGGTCTGTACTGGCCCGTACGATGTATGATCAAGCCATTGATGACACCAGTGCCTGCTGTGGCGACAATAAGTGGTACCAACAGAACACCTGATCGAAGAGGTGACGCTTCTTTGACGCTTTGGAAATAGAGAGGTAAGTAATATTCGGCAGCAATGAAGACCTAGATCGAGTCTGAGTAGAGAGTTTGAGCATATGCTAGTGCCAGAGGCTTACCATTCCGTGAGAGAACGTCACTAGCATGGTCGCAATGTTCCTGGTGCCGAATAGGGACAGGGGAATGACCGGGTACTTGGCCAATTTCTTCTCGCTGTAGACAAAGACAAGGATCATCAATGCGCCGAACACAATGAGGCAAATGACTTTGGCCGAACTCCAGGGATAGACAGATCCACCCAGGTCAAGTCCCAAGAGCAGCATCACCGTTACACCAAGAATTGAGACACAGCCAAACCAGTCGATGGCTTTGACCCCATCCAGTACAGGCGTTCGAGGGTTGTGCACGTTGAGGAAGGGCACAAGAAGCACAAAGGCGGTACCAGCGATGGGCAAGTTGCAGTAGAAGCACCATCGCCAAGTGACTTTCTGAGCAAAGGCACCGCCCAAGAGAGGACCGACCGCTCCGCTCAGAGCCCAGATCCCTTCACACAAACCTAGCCACAGGCTCCTTTCACGGACGCTGAAGAGATCGGAAATGCCGACATTGACCATGCAGATCAGACCACCCCCCGCTGCTCCTTGGATACTGCGGCCGGCAATAAGCATCTGAATGTTGACGGCTACCGCACATACCACCGAACTGGCGAAGAATACCACCACGGCGATGAGGAAAATTGGCTTGCGGCCCCAAATATCGGAAAATTTGACCCAGATCGGAGCGGCTGCAGCATTGGCTATGAGATATGCACCGCCGATCCAGATGTACCCAGCTGCCGAGTGAAGGTCCGCTGTGATTTTGGGAACTGCAGTGGCGACAATGGTGGCGTCGAGGGCGGCCACGAACAGTGAGAGATAAAGGGCGATCAGAATCATAGTGATGCGAAACTTGCTGCGAGGCTGCACCTGCTGAGCCGCTTCGGGCATTTCAGAGAGAGGTTCGATAGGCACATGATCGGTTGATGGATTTTGTATTCGCTGGGCTGGACCGATGAAGTCAACCTCTTTAGCTCCCTTTGCCTCCATTAGGGGAAGCCCAATCCCAGGCTAGGTTGTGTTTTTGCTTGCTTGCCAGCTATCCCCCTCGAAAGAAGGAGCAATTATTGTCGTGACGGGAGATATTGTTAGAGCTATAAAGGGGAATAGAGGGAGAAAGAGAGGGAAAGGCAGGGGATTATATGGGTTTGAAAGACCCTAAAAGGACAAGAAGACCATGGTAGGGAGGGAGGGGTCTCAAATGCTATAAGTAATACCCTGGGTAAACCTACTAGGATAGGTCCAGGTAAGTCGGTCAAAGGGCGGTGGACGTCAAGATCTTCGGTAACCTGGGATGGAGCGGCTCCTATGCGTCGAGCCGAATCCGCAGTAAATGTATGTACGAGCTGCTGCGAGTACGAATTGATATCTCGTAATCCGAATACCCTTTTGTGTGCTTGTAGACAAATGAAAATCCATCATGAAGTGACAAGAGTGGAGCCGGAGCTTTGCCGTGGCTTCAAGACGCAATTATGGTGACCCGTAGTGGAGAATGAATTGCTTGTATGTACTGGGTGAAACGAATCGCCTTATCCATCAACACCGGATCAGGCGTCAGAGAGCCCAGCTTCATCGTTCCATCTGGGAGCTCCGTCGTGGGAGAATAGGTAGATTGATTCTACAAATTCTGCGTAGCATGGAAAGAAATTCCTGACGGCTCCGGGGGGAAATGCAACTAACGACTCGACAGGATGGAAAGTATAGAGAAGAGGTAAGTGGAGATGGTGACAGGATTTCGATGGCTCAAAGAATGAGGATCTCTTTCATGTTGTGCAAGTCTTGGTGATAGGACAGAGGATTCTGACCCTGATCGAGCCTCATCGTTTGATTCCCGCAGCTTTGAATCTGCTGACCTTGCGCCCGTTCTCGTCTTCCAGAGGAGTTATCTCACCGTCTTCACTGTTGCCGAGAAACCCACCATCTTGGGAGGCTATGCGTTTCATCCTATGTTGCTGGTATTCCTTTGCGATCTCCCGTTGGTGGTCTTCTTCGGAAAAGTCATCTGGGCTGGGAGCCTTCGGTGCTTTGGAAAATGGCCGCTCTACCACCTGCGCAGTGACGACCGAGGATCGAGACTGAGGGGACGCAACTGTATCCTCAACTCTTTCGCTTGAAAATGGCATTGGAGAAGCGAATTTGGGCGTCTGCGGTAGAGATTCGCGCGCAGCTTTAAATCTTGACTGTTTGACGGTCTTTACGGCTGGAGCTGCCGGGATAGTAGGGGCTGCTTCCTCATCTTGATCACTCACTCGCTCGATGATTGAATCTTTGATGGGTCGCAACTTCGATGTTTGAGTATCTCCGAGCGGCGGTCTGTTTGGTGGAGGCATTTCTCCAAACGGAGGCTTTTCGTGAGCAATATCCAAGTCTGTGGAGAATGCCACTTTCTTTTTGCTGGGCTTCTTCTCCTTGATTGATTTGTCGGCTTCCGCAGACTTGCTCAGACTCGACTTCAAATTACTCTTCTTCGAGTTATCATGTCTGGCGATAGCTGCCTTCCGAGCTGCTTCGGCTGCCGGTGGCCGTTCCACATGTTTGACTTGCTCCATTGTGGCTTCAACTTCTGGTTGAGGCCCAATATTCTTCAGCCCTAGCTTCTCCTGCAATTCTTCCATTTTCTTTTGATAGCCGCGTGGCAGGGATAGAGGCCGTCTGCTCTTGCCAGATTCATCTTCCGACTCGTCCTCTTCGAGGTCCTCCAGATCCATGTCAGAGTCAAAGTCCAGGTCGTCTTCATTTTCGTCATACGAGATATCGGACGCCTCTTCTTCCAGCTCAAGCTCAGCTACAATGGCTCCAACTTCGTCTAAGCCGCGTGAGTATTCGAGCATTTCTCGGCGCAACTCGGCTTCGGCTTCCGTGTCATTTGGATTCGTCGGGAAGGCATCTGTTGAAGACTGCGCTGGTTGAACTGTACCGGCTAGTGGAGTGTTATTGAGAGAACTGCTTTCCCCACTCCCATCCTCATCCACTTCTATCTGTGACGCGGGAGCGTTTCCATCCGGGTGATTTGCTGGGTATTCGGCTTTCGTGATTGTGCCGTTTGTCTCCTCCAGATCATGCACACCAGCCCTCTTCAGTACGTCTATTAGATTGGGAGCGTTAGCACCTGGAGTCTCCACTTTGCTGGATATAACCTGTCCCATGTCGTCGAGCTCCTCGGTAATTTCGGCCAGAGGTAGGCCAGCTTCATCTCGATGATCGGGCTCCTCTGCGAGCAGTAAGGCATTCCTCCTCTTTTCTGCATCAGAGAGTTGCTTCCTTATTGTCTCAATATTTCGGATGACATAATCTGCACGCTTCGACACCAAGTCCACAAGTTGAGGAGGTCGGCGAGGCCGGGAGCTTTTATCCCTCAGAAGTTCCTGTAACTCAGTTTCGTCGATAATCTCTGGCTTGAAGTCTTTTGCTGCTTGAAGGCAGACATCGGGGGAGGCATCTTCGGGGATGCCCAGGAATTCTTCTTTGAGCCCCTCGTAGTCGACCTCAAGTGTTTGCCAGTGTCGGAGAGATTTGCGGAGCTTTGCAATGTTGTTCTCTAATTCGACCCGCTGTAGTTCAACTCGAGCAAGTGCGGAAGCGTCCATGGCTTACGAAAAGAAGAGCACACAGGCTAAGCAGGTGTTCCAAGAGGAGAAAAGAGAGTGGAGGTGGTGACGATGCGTGTTTTGGTGATGAAAATCTTCCACCAAGCCTTGCCGCCTGACTTTTTGGAAACGCCACTGTAGCGAAACGATTTGTCATTACAAATTTCGCCTGCAGCCTTGCACGTGCTCAGTTCCTTACACATTTCACTTCTCCAACCTCACATTCCTTGCTCTCTCCTCGATCTCATATTCCTTCCTCGCGAACCTGTAGCTGAGTATCCTTCGAGATGCTACGGCTCGTAGTGGCGACACAAACCAGGTCTGATCAAATTCGAAGCGTCGTCTGATCAAGGACCTATCAAAGGCAACCCCTGCTGATGAAGCGAGAAGCACCATGGATGATGATGAGTTGACCCGTACAGACTCTAGGTTACGCAAGATAGCGGCGACATACTGACATGAATCAACCAGCCCCAAACAAATGCCCCGTCTGTGGCAGTGATCCTCGGACACACCCAGGACTTCGCTTCAAGATCAACACCAAATGCTACCACCGGATCTGTGAAGGCTGTGTGGATCGAAACTTCTCCAGTGGAAAAGCCGAATGTCCCATCGGAGGATGTCATGTCAGTCTCTGGAAACGAGAATGGCGGACCCAGACTTTTGAAGATCTTAAGATCGAACGCGAGGTGGAAATTCGGAAACGGGTGAATAAAATGTATGTTGTCCTTGGTCCCTTTCCCACATTTGGCCTGACATAGACAGCCTCGACCGGCAGGAGGAAGAATTTGAGTCGAAACGCTATTACGATGACTTCTTGGAGCTTCGAGAAGAAATGATCATGAATCTGGTCCTGCGAACGGATGTGGCGGCTACTAACCGCAAGTTGAAGGAGTATGCCATTGCCAATGGTCTCAAAGTGGATACGAACGAAACTGCCGACCCCAGCACTAAAGCCTTGAAGAAGAAGGACGTTGACCCAACCGTTGCAGATCCCAGCGGTCTAATCAAGGGTATGAAGAAGAAGATCATTCCGGTGGCTGTGGCACCATACGATCCCTTTATGGGGATGCCGCGCAACAGAGATTACTACGAAGTCAAGGAGAGCTACATTGCGCGGGCAAGGGGGAAGCCAGCAGAAGCCATGGTTGCCGCAGGTTACGACTTTGGACAATACATGGACGAATGTCTGCTGCGGGCATTTGCGGGTCTGGGGGTTTTCATTCAGGATGAGATGGCGGCAAAGGAGAATGCAGCCGTCCCTGCACCGGGGTCCGGTGAGGTCAAGGTCGCAGACGACGTCTTCTAGCCGTCGTTGGGAGGTTGATGGCATGAGACGGTGATTTAGGGGACTGAAGCATTCTCAGGAAGGGATCGTGGTGATCATCTGCAACATGTTGGGGGATTTGGGACATTTCACCCAGATGGACCTGGATATTCCTTCCAATGCGATACTCTGTATATGATAAGCTGGAAACTGAAAGTTCCCATGGAGTCACTTCAGCCTGGTCTGTTAATGCCAAATCCACCTATTCCATCCAGGACTGTGCCAAGACGCTTGCCCCAAATGATCGATTTCGCGAAAACTGCTGCGGTCAGTGGGAAAGTTGCCCTCCGACCACCAGATGAAATCTTGGCGTTGGCGGTTCTCTCTCGCAGAAGCCAAACCACCTGGCACTGAGCAATCGCAATATCTGAGGTCCTGGTTGACTTGGGACAATCTGTGTCTGCGATTCTAGTTCTTCTTGCTCATTCCCCTTCTTTGCTACCATTCTGTACGCCCGTAAAGTTGCCTCGAGTCAACCTCCGCCACCAATGCCCGCACCCACAAACACCCTTCTGATTGAAGGGACGTTCACTGAACTTGCAGAAGAACTCGCCCAGTACATCGACACACTCGCAAAGTCGGAGGAAGGCGCCGGGGTTCAAGCCGAAATCGGACAACTACTCAGCACCATCAGAGAGTCTGAGCAGTCACAAGAGCCTATTGACGAGGCCGCAGTCCAAAGCCAGAAGAATGAAGTGTTGAAAAAGATCGTGACCAAGGCCTCAGTCCTCAACAGCGCTCCTGAGAGAGGTAAGAATACCCGTTGTGACTATCTCCGTGGAGGTGGAATGCTGACATCTATTTTGCAGAATTCTCCGCAGCATACAACCTCTTGATCAGCCTCTCTTCTCAATCTTCCATTTCCGACGGACTCTTCTCCAGAATATGCACGTATCTGTCTGAGCAGCCCGTTACCTCCTCTCCCACCTACGGCGGCAGCCTTGCGCTGCAGACCCTTACAACCATATTCAACGTCCTGCCTCCGACAAGTGAATCTCGCTACCATGTGTTCCTCGCCATCCTCAAAGTCATGCGCCAAACGTCTTCCTCTCAGGCTTTCGAGGCGCTCATCCCTCAACTCGAGACGAACATCCCCAACTGGCTGTCCGCATGGGAGCTCGATGACGAAGATGCCCGCAATCTATACGTAGGGGTGGCTGATGTGGCTTCTGCGACCGGAAATGAAGACCTCCAGTACACATACCTCCTGTCTGCACTGCAGACAATCCCTCCCGAATCGGCGTCCGAGGCGGAGAGCGCAGAACTTGCACGACGTGCTCTGCGGGTGGCATTGACAAATCCCGCCATAACGGATTTCACACCCTTGACTACCAGTGACGCGGTCGTCGCGTTGCGGCGTTCGGATAGCAATCTCTTCGACCTCCTGGAGATCTTCTCCTCAGACGATTATTCCTCATACACCGACTTCCTCGAAACGAACAACCTGGCAGACTTAGGCATACCAGATTCCGCAGCTGAGACGCTGAGCCACAAGATCCGCCTTCTAACACTGGCTACTATTGCCGCATCATCAACGACTCGCTCGGTTCCCTATAGCACCATTGCATCTGCATTGCAGATCCCCTCCGAAGACGTGGAGATGTGGGTCATCGACACCATCCGAGCTGGTCTCGTCGAAGGCAAGCTCTCCCAACTGAAGCAGGAGTTTTTGGTTCAGCGAGCCACGTACCGCGTATTCGGGGAGAAGCAATGGGCCGAAATCCAAGGACGCCTCATGGTATGGCGACGGAGTCTGGAGAGTGTGTTGACCGTTGTCAGGGCTGAGAGAGAAAAGTTTCTGAGGGAAGGGCCGACGTCGAACGGAGATGCGGGCGTCAACGGTTACGGAGGTGATGGGGACGGTCAGAGAAATGGAGGGGAACGCCAGCAGCAGAGAAGACAGGGTGGCGACAGGGGTGGCCGTGGACCGCGTCGCGACAGGGGAGATCAGCAGCAGCAGCAGGGACCTCGAGAGATTGAGGTAGGTGGTGGAGATTAGGAGTCTGCTCACTACCTGGGACGGTCGTCCGGGAGAGTCGATGCCTTCCTGGACGCTCTGCTGCAACGCCTCGAAGATCAGAGAGCAGCCGCGTGAGGCTTAAAAGAAATCGACCAAATCTGCACACGAACGAACGGAACGGAACAGATCATGCACGAACAAAATCCCCTACCACCTCAGAGGGCCTCGGAGGGGTCGTGGGGGGGAGGCATTTCCAAAGAGAAAACTTGAATGTACTTGATATGCGCAACGCATAAAATAGCTTCGAAATTAGAACATTGCTCCTGTCTTGTCGAGCATTTCTTTCAACACTGCTATCAACCATTGCTTGTGCTTGTCCCAGTCATACCCTTTGTGCTACAGGGTCGGCGTCGAGCCCCTGACTTGATGGGCGTTCGATCCCCTCCTGGACTCTCAAGACTGCACTGAGCTTTACCACATAGTCCTCCATACTCCTTTCCCTCTGGGCGTAGTCTATCACATCGCATCAGGCACAGAGTACATAAAGCGAGGCATCATAAACTCCCAGTGCCGACATCCGGTTCCGACGTTCATCCCTGATCGAGCCCACAATCAAATATCAAGTACCAAATAGATAGGAGATGATTCTCTTTATACAAAATGTGCGGTAATATGGAGAGCTCGATCATTTTTTCTTCATGTCTGCATGCTCTGCGCCGCCTGTCGCGGGCTGCTCTGTTGCCCAGGCCCGTTGCCATTAACATTACTCTGGCTGGAGCTGCGCTGGTCTCTCGGTGTTGCGCTGCGACTCATTTGCCCTTGGTTTCCGTGTTGGCTTACTGGCCGAGCCATGTTCATTACAGGCGAGTTTGCCATCCCATTAGGCATGGCGGCCATTTGCTGCATCTGCATCGCTTGCAAGTTTCGCGCCGCGTGTTGTTGAGCTTGTTGCATCCTAATTCGCTGGTTATATTGTTGCAATTGCTCATTGGTCATCATATTTGGATGTCCAAGTTGTGCGGCAGCAGCGGCAGCCGCGGCAGCAGAGGCATTATTTCCAGCATTGACAGCACCAAGAGCCGCATTCAACGCCGCCTGGTTGTGAGGCTGAGGACGTTTGTGATTCTGCCCTGCGGCGGCAGCTGTTGCTTGGTGTTGATAGGTTTGGAGCTGCTGCGATGCAAGCCGTTGTACCTCCTCGTCTGACAAGTTGGGATGGTGTTCTCGAATTTTGTTAGCGATCTGCGTCAGTACAGGAACATGTCCACTGGATAAAGCCTGGCCGGAATTAGCGGTGTTGGGACGAGGTGAGCTTCCGTTCATGTGGCCAGAAGGGGATGCATTCCCGTTTGCGGTAGCAGCGGCCATGGCAGCACGATAAGCGGCATTATTCATGCCTTGGCCATTTGCGAGAGCGGCATGAGGGTTGTTCGGCGAAGAATGAGAACCACTCTGAGCTTGGGCCTGTCGCAGAAGCTGTTCTTGTTGCGCTCTGGTGGCTTCCTGGAGCATGCGCATCTGCTGTGGCGAAGTTACTCCACCACGGGCGGCGAGTTGCGCTTGCATCTGTGCTTGCATTTGTGGGGTTATTTTCGGTGCCATCATACCAGGTGGTAGCTGCATATTCCCTTGCATTGCGGCCATCATGGCTGGATGACGGGGATGGCCATTGGGCATTTGCATGTTGCCGTTTGGCATTCCAGGTACGCCGGTTGCGGATGGAGCACGCATCCCCGGTCCAGCAGCAGGTATACTATTTGGCAAGCCATTGGGTTGACCATTCTGGCCACGTTGTTGCTGTGCCGTGGCACGTTGGTGTGCAATGAGCTGCTGCCGATATATCTCTTGCCGTTCCGCAAGTTTCTGCTCGCGCTCCTGCTTGAGCTGCGAGAACTCCGCCGGGGTCTTATAAGAGGGTTTGGGCACATTGGCATCGTTGACTTTGCGCATGGCAGCAAGGTCGGCTTGATGTTGTTGTTTCTGAAGAGCTGTCTCTCGCTTTTTGGCCAGCTTCCGCATAGCATCGAGCATAGCAAGATGTCGTTGGGTCCTCTTCCGTTCGACTCTGACAGGCTGTGTCGTCCTCTTTCGTGCCGAGATCTGAACGTTGGCGCCCGCTCTTCTTTGGGCTTCCTCAAGCTGAGCAGTCACATTTCTCCCCGCTGCCTCAATTCTTCCCGAGTACGTCTTGAAGTAGGCCGTCTTTGACATATCCGCAGGTAGACCTTCCAAACCAATCCATCTCTCAAAGCATTCCCATGGTGTCCGTCTATCGGCACCTGACGTATACAAACTTGGGGGAGTAAGACAGCTGGAAATGAGGGACCAATTGTAGGAATAATCCTTAACGAGTCTCTTGAGTTCATCGTCTTCCGCAGAGGTCCATTGCGATGACGACCGCGTCTCGAAGAAGGCTTGAGTAGGCATGGGATGTTCTGATGGCGGGCGGAAAGAATGTCCAGGGTGTATCCTGTCTCGGATTGCTTTGTTCTCAGGCATGAACAACGCAACGTTCGTCTCCTCCGGTGGAAGCGGCTCTGACTTCTTCTTTGGTGAAGGGTCAGGCTCGTAATCGTACCGGCTGCGTTTCATTGGAGGCCTATACTCCTTGACCGGGAGCTTTTCGGTGGCCCACCTCGAAACAGGAACAATATCTGTTTTCCATTTCGCATCGAGCCGTTCTCCCAAGTTAGATATAGAATGATCTAGGTTGGCAATTGATGGCTCGTAGAGGGGTAACTCGTTTAAAAGCTTGTCTAGAGCAGGAGTTTTGTCGACGGCGAAGCTGAAGTCAGAAGCACCCAAAGAGAATATCGCGGCCGGAGCACTGGACATTTGCACCTCTCGCGGGTCTGCAATGTCGTCGCTTACGGAGTCGTCCTCGTTGGAGGGCACCAGCTCGGGCGTGGGGTGCGAAGACAGGGTTGGTCCAGAACCGTCTTCCATAGCCACGTCCTCAGAACCGGTATTCCCGGGCAGATACTTTGGTGGTCGAACGCGCACTTGTAGACGTTTTCTGTCTTCGGGGGAGCTCGTGACCCATTCTGCACAGCATTCTGCGAGCCCTCTGGCAGCTGCGAGCTTCCACTTTCGCTCTTCCCTGAAGTCGGTGCGCATCCACTTCATATGATCAAGCAGAAAATCCCAATGAGAGGTTGGTCTAGCTGCTTCGTCAGCACGCCTATACTGCCGGAGAGGCCAGCGTTGCTTCTCTTGTAGTTGGTAGAGTCGTTTCAATATCCGACATTCCGCAGATGACTCGTACTCAATCAAATGATCCGAAGTTGACAGTGTCTTGTGGGCATTTTGGATGAGGTAAGACATGGTGGTCTGTCGAGACATCGAGTGTGCCTTGTTCTCGAACAAAGTATAGAGGTAATCCCTCTCGCCAGGCCCTGTTCTTCGCTGGGCTTCACCATCGCCGATGCGCGTCAACTCAAGATTCTCCTCATCGAATGCAGGTTTTTGAGGTTTTGCAAAAACCACTGTTGATAGCCGGCTGCGTTCTTTGTCGCGACGGTCGCGTTCGGTTAGTCGACCCTGAGAAGTTGTGCCACCATGTGCATCGCGGTGGATCGCTGACGATGGGGAATCTGCCGGGGGGGTTGAGGTCTTCGGCATTTCACCAAGAATTTCCGATACAGATTTCTTCTGCAACACACCAGATGAGATCCTCGTTGCGCGTTTCGCAGGCTCCTGAGATGACGGCGTCGCGGGCATATTCTTCTTAGGAGTTGTGCCGGTTATTGGGGCTGGACTTTCGACAATTCCACTCCCAGGCCGTGCTTTGAAATATGCGTCGTTCTCTGCCTGAGTGTCTATCCGCATCATCGGTCGCGGGGTCTGTGATGCAGCTAATGCCTCTGCAGGAAGCTTACTATGAACATCAGAAGTTGAATTCATGGATCCTGCGTTGACCATTCCGGTTATTTCGACGTCAGCAGAGGGAGCATGACTTCCACTTGCGCCGTGCGGGTTCTTAGCTTCCGGCGAGGGAGGTGATCGTTCCAAGCCCGCATGCTCAGCATCCAAAGGCTTGCCCTCGTGGGCAATCTCGGATGTAACAAGGGGTACATCAATACCAGGACTCGTTCCCGGCGATCCAGCTGTCGGTGCAGGGGTGTTAGACGAGTCTGGCCCATTTGTGGAAGCTGGCGAGGATTGTGGCTCGGCAGCTGCTGGGATCGGGACGAGAAGAGGACTTCGACTGAGTTGACGGTCGACGGCAATGGATGAGCGGGGTTCTGTATCTTCCGATAGTCCAGTAACGACTGTCAGCGTGCTCGGAGGCTCAGACTCGACGTTAGATGTTTGTCTAAGAGGAGTTCCCTTGACAGACTGAGGTACCGGGGACTTCAATTCACCGTCGGAGTTGGGAAGATTGGGGAGCGTGCTGGCCTCGTCTTTCTGCGCGTTAACTGCTACTACAGTGGCCCCTTGGAGATCTGTCCCACCCCTTTCGTCAATTGTAACCTCGATGCCTTCATCGCCTTTGTTTATGTCATGCGACTCCTGCCCAGTCGCGGGCTGTTCTGGTGGGATCGGTTTAGGAGCGGCTTTGGACCCTTGAGGTGACGGCGGAGTGGTGTTTGATGCATCTAATGATTGCTGCGCCGCAAGAGAGGGCGATGGAGGTACTGCACGCGGTTGCGCAGGCTCATGTTTTCGAGGTGGAAGAGTTATATGGATTCTAGGTGGGATTGTTGTTTCGTCGAAGCGACGCCCTCTGTGGAAGAGTGAGCACAACTAAGCCAAACAAGCCTCATAATTCATGAAAACTGCAACAGTGGTAGAAAGAAGCGAGCGACGGGAGATGCGTACTTTTCTAGGTCATTTGCATCATGAAAGGCCTGGAGTTTCTGCTTGTAGGTTGGGTCTTCGACGGAGACAACGATAGAGAAGAGTTCGCTTAATTTGCGCTTTCTTGACAGCACCAGGCTCCTATAATTCATGATATTCAGTCAGTAGACTGCGGGAGAGATTACGAGCGTCTTTGAGGGTTGTGAGGAATATTGCTCACTGTGCTTGAGACTTCTTCGAGCGCAAGTGCTCGACGGGCATTTCATCGGCATCGGCGAGGTCGACGAGAAGGACGAGAAACCATCCGAATCAATTGCTGAAAATTTGACAGGATGCGAAATCAAGTGTACGGAGATGAATAAAGAGCCCAGAATGAATTGTTTGGGCGCGTTGTGATGATTTGAGCCTCTTGAAGTTGTTAGACGTGTAGAGGAGGTGGCCTCTGGATTTTGGTGTTCTGTGCAGAGTTGGAGGCACAGGGCGTAGCAGTTACAAGAATCAGGGTAATTTGTTAGGCTTGCTCGGGCGGGGGGAGTGCACGGAGGGAGGGACAGCAGCCTATTCCACCTCCTGGGATTCTTTTTCGGGCAGGCAAGGGCAGGAGGGGGGAGACACCCAACGCCATCAACCACCGCCATTACCACCACCACTGACAATCTGCTCCAGAGATTTTGGGGGCGCAGCCACTTCCTAACACGACGCTAGTAAATTTTCCCTTTTACCTTCTCATGGTCAGTCTTTATTGCACCACAACTTTGGCAGACTCGAGGACAATGCCATTCTAGCAATCTTCTGTAGACCTCGTTACCTTCCATGGAGAGATCTTTATTAGAACGACCATACCCTGTTCCTGGAATCCGAAACTCGTTCCACGATCTCGTGCAGTGCTGGTCAAGCCACTCGGCCACTCCCATCTTTCAAGTCTCATACCTCGTACTTCTCCAAATTTACAAATTTGACGAATTATTCCACTAAAAGTTCCTTCTATGGCCAAAAGAAAAAGAGAAAGCGGCTCCAAGGCCACCAAGACTCCCTCCGAGACCGTCAAACCTACGAGTGAAGAGAACACTTCTGCGAAGATCACCAAAACCAACGGCCATGTGGATGTGAAGACCACTTTACCAGTCATTCAAATCGTTGTGGGCTCATATGAACGGGCTCTACATGGCATTACTGCAACCATATCGAACCCGTCGTCACCAGCATCCCGGCTGTCGGTACAATTTGCCGATACCTTCTTGTTCAATGCACATGCGTCTGCCATCAAATGTCTAGCACTATCACCTTTGCCGGAGCCCGGTTCTTCTGAAACACAGGGCGTGTATCTTGCCACAGGCGGCTCAGATGAGAAGGTCAATGTCTTCAGCCTTTCCGCGGCACCAGTCAGCAACAATGAGAGACTGCCACCCATGCCCTCTCTGGGTAAGAACACCATTTCTGAAAATCCCAGAAATAGGGAGCTCGGCACTCTTCTTCATCACTCCTCTCATATCACGGCCCTGCATTTCCCCACGCGGTCAAAACTACTCTCCGGGTCAGAAGACAACACCATAGCAGTTACCCGTTTGAAAGACTTGACTGTGGTATCAACAATAAAAGTACCACGACCCAAGGCGCAAGGACAGCCCAGTGGAGACACAGCACCACCAGGTGCCACACCCGCGGGAATTAATGACTTCTCTGTGCACCCTAGCTTGAAGCTCATGTTGAGCGTCGGTCGAGGCGAGAGATGTATGAGGTTATGGAATTTGGTGACGGGAAAGAAGGCCGGTGTTCTCAATTTTGGTCGCGACATCTTGCAAAATGTGCGAGAGGGTAAGTACAGCAGCGGCGAGGGCAGACGGATACGGTGGAATCCCAATGGCGCCGAGTTTGCCGTCGCCTTCGAACGCGGAGCGGTCGTGTTTGGGGAAAACTCCAAACCTAAATGCAGGGTTCTGCCAGAGCCGCTCACCAAGCTACATCAGATTCACTATCAAAGCATCCCACCGAACTCGGACGAAGAGGACGCCACTACCCTTCTCGTTCTTTCGACCGAGGATGGCCGGATACTCTTCTATGATACCGACGCAATCTCCCCTCATCCATCGAATGAAACAAATGGCAGTGACCAGACTGCCTCAGTATCCCTTCCGGAGGCCACTCTTGTGGCGACCATCGGCGGTAGATCCGCAGGATTCACGACGCGGATCAAGGACTTTGAGCTCCTATTTCTCCCCACTGAAGCCAACGGCCAAAAAGACATGGCCATCGTTGCAGCGAGCAGCGACGGCACAGTCCGCATTATCTTCTTACAGCTGTCTGATGTGTTAGCCGCCTTGAAGAGCAAGAGGCCGGTCCACGCCGGATCGGTAATCGGAGCGTACGAAACCGGCAACAGAATCACCTGCTTGAAGGCCTTTGTCATGCTGCCTCCTAAGGATGATGAGGATGGATTTGGAGAAGCCGACGAATTCGGGGGATTCGATGAGCAAGGAGAAAGCGAGAGTAATAGTAGTAGCAGTGATGAAGATTGATAATTGAGGTGATAAGAGGGAGGTAGCTCGGCCGTTGCAAGGTTATGTCACGCACCAAGCCAGGATATTGTTGCTGATACCATACGAATGGCCTAATTTGACCAGCCCGACCCAGCTTGCTCTGTAGGAATTAATTTGGCATGCCACTATTGCAAGCTGAAAAGTCTGGAGCTTCTCATTTTGAAGGCTGTATGCCCATCTTTCCTAGCCCCTTGACCACATTCTCGTAGACATCTTCGACCAACCCAACTGACGAGACTTTAACGACTCTGCCCTCCTTCTCAAACATGTCCACCACTGGCATGCTCGTCTCAACAAATGTCCGGAATCTCTTGATGATGCTTTCCTCATTGTCGTCTGCCCGCCCACTCGTCTTTCCTCTGTTCAATAATCGTTCTCTCATGACCTCTTCGGGGCAGTCGAGAAACAGGGTGCACTTGGAGGGACAGACTGACTCTTCGAAAAATATGGCTTGGTCCATTTTTCTAGGGAATCCATCAATCAAGAATTTCCCGGTCCCGTCACTCCCTAGGTTTGATCGCATGGCATTTTCCAGTAGCTTGACTGTGATCTCCATTGGCACAATTAGGCCCTCTTTGATATAATCTTTGATCAGTTGGCCGTATTCACTGCCCTCGGTGTTCTGTTCTTCCCTCAAGAGGTCACCTGCAGACAGATGTACAAAACCGAAATCTCGAACCAGGTTGGCAGATTGTGTACCCTTCCCGGAACCAGGACCTCCCAGTACATATACAACGGTGACCTTTTGAGGATCGAATGCTGGAGAGATGTTCGTTGAGGCGAGTGGGACTTCTGGCTGGGCAAGAGGAGATGTCCCGGATGTAGGATCTATCGCAGGTGTCGCCATTGCAAAGCAGCTCTTCTGTTACTACCGTTCGGTATGTGCTTTACGTCGAGACTCGCTGGTGACGTTCGTCTGAGATTCTGTGCGCTTCTTGACCAACAGAACGTAGGAACCGCTGCTGAGAAGGAATAAAATGAGGAAAGGGAAAAATCGCAGTCTATCACCCTGGCCCCCTGGCCGGTGTGTGCTCGCCACACTTTGCTTTGACACGGATCTGGTAGTAGAAGTCGGTGGTGGAGGAGATGAGGGTGTTGCGGAATAGTGGCGTACAGAGTGTCCTGTGTATCGAAAACCAAGCGGTGACAATGGATGTCTGCTCAGAGAAGTGTTCGGTTTACGCGCGATCATTCCTTGGAACGAGCCGGGGAAACAAAATGAGATCTGGATCGGAGACTGACGCTGCAACAGACAAGAGGCCAGAGCTCCGGGAAAATAATTTGATAGTAAATAGTAAGTCCAGGTAATGACGAAAGCAGTTCCATGGGCATGCATGGGCATGCGCCATGTGTCTTAGCACCCACTGCCACCCTAACAAGCCACCAGCTTCACAAGTAGGCATTGCCACGTGACAAAGACTGTCCCCAAGGTTGCATGCTGGGCCGCTGGCAGGCACCCTCCCGTTTGGCGGCGAATCAATAACAGGCCCAAGCCACCAGAACGGACCTTCCTGTTTCTGGCTTGTAACTCCAGAAGATCCGCTCACTTTCTCAAAAGGTGTCTCTACTTCCAGGAGCTCATCAACAATTGAATCAATTGCCCTTCAGTTCCCTTCTTCCACACCCCCACGTCACATTTCTCGTGGTCTCGTTCCTGCTACCGTCCCTCTCCTATTCTTTCTACACTCCTTTGAGTCCGTGGATTTTGCAGTCACTTTGTCGGCCGTCCAGCGAGCGATCAATTACTTTTTCTCCAAGTGCATGAGGCCGCAAGGAGGCCGGTCGCAATCATGGCGCTTCCCATTCGGTTCACTGAACTGGTTCAGGTCTGTTGATGGCACTCGCGGCTGTTCTAATTCCTGGCTGACTTTTCACAGTTGACGAATCTTGATATCGCGGTAAGGGCACGCTCCCTGAATCGCAGGCGCAGTTCGACGTGAATGCCGGCATATGCGCGACCTGATCGATTTTCTCCTTTACTTCTGGAATTTCTACTGACAAGTTTCCTCCTTCTCAGCCAACCTCTATTTCCTTCAACACCTGTGTGAGTACACGTCCGGCTCTTCCCACCGAACCCGGGCACTGACCTCTTTCCAGACACTAGAATCCGATCACTACGTCTGCGTACGGCAGAAACTTAATGAGCAGGACAAACCTCAAGTCATAATTGTAAACCTCAAGAACAACAATGAAGTCATCAAACGCGCTATCAGCGCTGACAGCGCCATCATGCACTTCAGTCGCGAGATCCTGGCCCTCAAGGCGCAGGGGAGAACAATTCAGGTCTTCGACCTCGCAGCCAAATCCAAGCTGAAATCTACAATCATGAATGAGGATGTCGTCTTCTGGAAGTGGTACAACGAACGCAGTCTGGGATTGGTTACCGACACCTCCGTCTACCACTGGGACGTGTTCGACCCTACCCAGTCCGCCCCAGTGAAGATGTTTGAGCGAAATGCCAACCTAAATGGATGCCAGATCATCAATTATCGCGTCAACGATGATGAACAATGGATGGTGATAGTTGGTATTTCTCAAAAGGAGGGACGAGTCGCCGGTACGATGCAGCTGTACTCGCGCAATCGTGGGATATCACAACCCATTGAGGGTCATGCTGCTGCTTTCGGCACGTTCCATGCAGAGGGCAATCCTGCTCCTTACAAACTTTTCACGTTTGCGGTTCGAAATGCTGCTGGTCAAGGAAAGCTTCATGTTGTGGAGATTGATCATAACGAGAACAATGCACGGTGGGTCAAGAAGGCAGTCGACGTCTACTTCCCCGATGAGGCTGTCAATGACTTCCCAGTTGCCATGCAAATCTCCAAGAAGTACAGCATAATCTACATGATCACCAAGTACGGCTTCATTCACCTATATGATCTCGAAACAGCCACCTGCATCTTCATGAATCGTATTTCTAGCGAGACAATCTTCATCACGACGCCCGACTCCGAGTCCGCCGGTATTGTCGGAATCAACCGAAAAGGTCAGGTCCTCTCGGTCAGCGTTGATGAGAACACGATCATCCCCTACCTGCTCCAGAACCCTGCCAATGCCACCCTGGCTGTGAAATTGGCTGCCAGAGCAGGCCTGCCAGGTGCCGACAACCTCTATCAACAGCAGTTTGAAACCCTCTTTGCTCAGGGTAACTACTCAGAAGCTGCCGAAGTCGCCGCGAATTCTCCACGAGGGTTTTTGAGGACGCCGGAGACGATCAACCGATTCAAGAGTGCACCTCAACAAGCTGGTCAACTTTCTGTCATTCTGCAGTATTTCGGCAAACTGCTCGACAAGGGCAAGCTGAACAAATACGAGAGTGTAGAGCTGATAAAGCCGGTTCTCGCACAAAATCGTAAGAACCTCCTTGACAAGTGGATGAGTGAAGGCAAATTGGAGTCGTCTGAAGAGCTTGGTGATATTGTCCGCTTGCATGATCTTGAACTTGCACTGAAGATCTACCGCGAGTCAAATGTTCCACCAAAAGTTGTCGCAGCGTTGGCGGAAACTGGCCGTTTTGAGGAGATTCTTCCCTATGCGCGCGAGGTTGGATATCAGCCAGACTTCACCAGCTTGTTGCAACACATTGTTCGCGCAAACCCTGAGAAAGGCGCTGAGTTCGCTACTCAGCTCGCCAACAACGAGGGTGGTCCATTGGTGGATATTGACAGAGTTGTCGATATTTTCATGTCTCAGAATATGGTCCAGCAAGCAACTGCATTCCTGCTCGATGCACTCAAAGAAAACCGTCCCGAACAAGGCCACTTGCAGACTCGACTCTTGGAAATGAATCTCCTGAACGCACCACAAGTTGCAGATGCCATTCTTGGGAACGAGATGTTTTCCTACTACGATAAACCCAGAATCGCACGACTTTGCGAACAGGCTGGTCTTTTGCAACGTGCCCTTGAAAACACAGATGATCCGGCTTCCATCAAGCGAATCATTGTTCAGACCGACAAGCTTAACCCTGAATGGCTTCAACAGTACTTTGGCCGCATGTCTGTCGAGCAGTCGCTGGATTCCATGGATGAGATGCTCAAGGTCAACATTCGGCAGAACTTGGCTGCTGTGATCCAGATTGCCACTAAGTTCTCTGACCTCCTGGGACCCAGTCGCTTGATTGCACTATTCGAAAAGCATCGCACCGCAGAAGGTCTCTATTATTACCTTGGCAGCATTGTCAATCTCAGCGATGATGGAGAAGTGGTTTTCAAGTACCTTGAGGCAGCTGTTACTATGGGACAATTCCAGGAAGTCGAGAGAATCTGCCGCGAGAACAATCACTATAACCCTGAACGTGTCAAGAACTTCCTCATCGAAGCTCGTCTGGCCGAGCAGCTTCCATTGATCATTGTCTGTGATCGTTTCAATTTTGTCAAGGATCTGGTCAACTATCTCTACCGGAATCAGCAATACAAATCCATCGAAGTGTACGTTCAACGAGTCAATCCTGCACGAACACCAGCAGTTGTCGGAGCATTGCTTGCTCTAGACTGTGAAGAATCAGTCATCAAGAACCTGTTGGCATCAGTCGACCCTTCGGCTGTCCCTATCGACGAGTTGGTCAATGAAGTTGAGACTCAGAATCGACTCAAAATTCTGCTACCTTTCCTCGAATCCACACTGGCAGCAGGGATCCAGCAACCGGCGCTTTATAACGCGCTAGCGAAGATTTACATTGGTCAGTATATGTTCTGTTTTCTATCCTGCCTTCCTACTGTTGGATTGCCGAACGTCCCCGCTCGACGGGCACAGGCGTACGGAAAAGCATTTACATGGCCAAAAGTGGCCAGTTTTAATGCTTTGGTGTTGTAGATCTCCTTGGTTCCCCCAGAATTGGCACACTTCAGTTTCATTGGTATCCTTGCTAACTAATGGAAAATAGATAGCAACAATAATCCCGAGAAATTCCTCAAGGAGAATGACTTGTACGACACTCTGATAGTAGGCAAATACTGTGAGAAACGAGATCCCAACCT